ACTTAATAATTCAAGCAACAATTGTTCTTCATAATTTTATACAAAAAGATGAAGAAGACCTACCTGTTCATTAAAGGAAGTACTGTCGAACAGGTTTTGTTGATTCGGAAGATGGAAATGGAACTCTTCATAGAGGAAATTGGCGTGATGGGAAAGTTTTAATAAGTGTTGGCCGATTAGGGTCAAATAATTCTAGCATAGATGTTCGGAGCTTGAGAAGAGTGCTGGCTGATTATTTTTTGCCAGCAGCTACTGCCCTCCAGTACCAGTTGGACTAAATTTTGGGTAGTGGTATTCCAGATTCGTTTACTTTCACTCAGGAATAACTGTAGTAAAATTAATAAAAAATAGTTTTGGAATTTCTTGTTTTATGTCTTTTTATTTAACCAAACGTATACCATAAAATAAAATAAAATACAACAATTACTTATTTTTATTTTCTCGTAACATATTGTTTAAAATCGTATACACTTGTTGTTTGAAGTCTATTTTATCTTCAGCAGAAATAATATTCATGTCTTCTGCCTGTCTCGGTCCTCATTTGGGAGCTGGTCGAGGGGCCGGTTTTCTTTTTTATCAATTTTTTTTAAAAATGAATCGAAGCGATTGCCCATTTTTTCAAAAATAGCCTCTTGTGGGGGTTTTCTTGTAGGGGTTATAGTTTGCCATGCTATGCGCAGTTTTTGAACTTGTAAGTATGAGGCTTGGCTTGTCTCATCCAATTCCAAAGACTCGGTATTCAAATCCAGCTTATACTTATGGGCCCCGTTACTGTTTATAATTTTTGTGCTGATTGGTGCGGTAGAAGGCGATAGGAGAGGCAAACAGCATTCTGGATAGGCATCATCCACCGTTTCTGTCTCCATTATAGTAGCCATTGTATCCCAATGGATGCATCCCGCATTTTCAAAGAGAGAGGCTAAAGAAGAATTGGTTTTGGAGTTGGGCAGGAAATACACTGCCGGACAATTGCTTTCGAACAGAAGAAAAACTTCGCCTAACTTTCAAGCTCAATATTTTTTTGTAACCAGACCAAATATCGACCTCCGGTTTTCACGGGCCAACAGATTGACTTTTTGTGAAAAAATTGTGTATGGAAACCAGAGGTTGATGTTTTGATTCCAAAAATATCGAGCTTGAAAGTAAGGCAAAATTTTTCGCTCGAAAGCAATAGTTTAGCAGTTTAGTTAGCAGTCGTCCTTGAATGAAATATTTTGTAAGTATTATCTTTCATAAACTCCCAAAAACTTACTTTCTTGTTGTTAAAAAAGGGTCTAAAAAACGCATGGCCTCAAAATGGGGCCTAGTAATGTTGAAGACTGCGAAACCAGATGGCATTGCTTTAACTAACCCTCAAAACTTTGGCAAATCCGCCCCTAAAAACTAACCATCTCTGTTCGCACAGTTCAGCTAAAATAGAAGATCTAACATAACTATCTGGCTAGCACAATTCGAAAAGCAACAACCTCGGCAACAACTTACGTTTATGCTCCAGCAGCGTCCCTATTGTTATCCACGCATTTTCTTTCAATAATCTGCTTTTGTATCTAGTGTCAGATTTGTTAAATAAAGCTGGGAACCTATGCTGTATTTTTGCCCAAGATGGATTTTGACATTGAAAACTTTGAAACATAAACAATACCGCTTGGCCCTAATTGGTCGCAAAATGAGTTGTCCCTGCAGGTTGACATTAATTTAACATGCAAATGGCATCTAGCGACCAATAAGCGGCATTGTTTATGTTCCAAAGTTGACAATGTCAAAATCTATCTTGGGAAAAATAGAGTTTAGACATCTGTTCAATTAATAAACAATCATCCATTTCCATATTTTCAACAGGGCCTGGCCTGTACACAATTTTCAACACAAAACAGAAGATTCAAATTTAAGGTAATTATTAATGCCTAAAATACAATCCTAATTTACCCAATGATAAAAAAAAACGTAGTTACTTATTGTTCGTCGATTTTTAACTGACACTTTCCGTATGAGGAGCGAGGGGGTGTTTCGTATGGCAAAAACAGGTGTGACGTCAGGTAACCATTGGCGTTCTAATGTAGGGAGCTACCAGCTCACATTCCGTCCGAGTATCAGATTAAAATCGACGGAAAATAAAATGTCAACATTGTAGCAGATAACCGCAAGATTTAAATTGAAATTGACAACGATAGTCTGACAGCATGACACGGACAAGTGACGAGAGCATTTCATTGGTAATAATTAAAATCTCTATTCAATTTAAATTTCTATATAAACGTCAGGAAATAAAATAAAATAAAATAAAATCTGAAATTAAATTAAGTCAAAATTAAATTGAATTTCTGTATAAGCCCACCTTAAGTGTTTTAAAAATGTACTTAGGTACTCTATGAATACCACCTTCTCTATAATACCAACACTGCCTAATAATAAAATGTATACTTCTTCTTAAGTTTAAAAAATGAGTCGAAGATGTTTAATAATCACTAATACCTTTTTAGGTCCTTCATGAGTTAGAGATGGTGGTCTCAAACAATCTTCTATTAAGTTTTTGAAGAAGAAAAATGATCGAATGTATGAAGTTAGGTGACAAGAATTGGCATTACAAGAAAAGCGGTTAGAACTTATGAAAGAAGAAAGAGGCTAGAAATTGAAGAAATTAGGTTAGCAGTGGATGAGAAATGTTCATCACCTGCGCAGTAACAATTTTTGACTGCGTCACTGGTAATATCTTTTCATTTGATTTGTCTGAGAAAGGTATTACGAAACCATCGTTATCCAAAACTGCATGTACAGTAGTTTCATCATGTTGTTTCAATGGATGCGACATCGTGTGTTATGCTTGGTGTTATAAACGGTGATGTGCAAATATCTCCAATGTCTGGAGATTCCGTAACAACCAGCAATTGCTGGATCGCATCACTAGTAGGAGTAATGTTATCAATCGATAAAGTTAAAGAATGCAAGTTTTGTTACAGAAACATCAAAGGCATCATAATGTGATACGCGTAACGCTATTATGACTGGTTTATACTTCCAAAATTAAGAATTGAACTAAACTAAGTAATAAATTGAAAATTAAATTAAACTAAACTTTAGAAATGCAGTTTATACCTAAAATTAAGGATTAGGGATTTACTGAAATTAGCTAGTTCTTCACGTAATTACAAATGATAGAAAAGAACATAGAAATAAACAAAAACCAGCTAGAGTGACAACAAACATATAGACATTTAGCAGAACGTATGGATCGTGGCTTCCGAATTTGACGAACTAGAACGATCTCCTCAATTCTTAATTCTTAGTTGAAAATTAGCCAACTTTTAATTTAATTCAATTTAATTTAATTTTTTAATTTGAGGTATAAACGGTATACACGACAGCATCAAATTATGGACGTTTAACATTTAAATTTTTAGTTTAGTTTAATTTTTAATTCAGAAGTATAAACCAAGCATTATTATTTATAAAAATAAATTTAAATAGATAGATTGTGACCTTGAACACAAAAAGATAAAATACTACCTCAATCGTTTACGTTAAGAAGGAACTACTTACAAACACCCTAATAGAAATTTGTATACAAATTTACCTAGTTCCACAATTTCTTCATAAGTTTCATAATCCTCTACCTTACAATATTTACCTTTATTTTGCAATTTTAATTTAAAAATCGGCATTTTCACATCCACTCATTGAACACCGAATAGCCGTCGCGTGGTCAAGTTCACTCTATTTTTAGTTGTTTGGAACCTCGTCTGTGGACCTCGTCTTTCGCGTCGGTGTAGAGGAGAATGTAGTAGGAATGAGAATTTCACATACCTGACCGTGTAATTACCATTTTCCGTGTATTATTACCATTTTTAGGAAGGTTTGACACTGGTTTGTAAAACGTCATTTATCAAGTCAAAACATAAACAACGAAAATTGATTTTTACCAGTTACTGGCTCTACTGACTTGTAAAATTGACAGCTAAACTGTAATTTTTTTTTTCCTACGAGCGTGAGGAGAAGTTACTTTTTTACACGATTTTTCGTTTCGGAAGTTGTACTTTTCCGCACGATTTTACTTTTCCGCACGATTTTTTTTACTTTTCCGCACGATTTTTACTTTTCCGCATGATTTTTACTTTTCCGCACGATTTTTACTTATATGAACGATTCATATCGTCGCTGATCTCGCATAGTGGCGTAAGCGACATTCCCTAAATTTTACAAGAGATCGAATTTAATAAATTTACTTTTGATATGGTGCAAGTTAATCCAAAAATAATTGGATAGTATATTAATTCATATTCTATGTAAGTACACTGAGGGGTATAGATAAAAACTATAATAGTCAAATCGGTAGACCTTGCTTCTAATGTCTCAAAAAAGACACTAAATGGACATACGCCTGTCTGCCAGATTCTTATTGGATCGATATGTCAGATACGCCTTGGATGGTAATATGCACTAATAACAATCGGTAGCGACTAACCGTTGTTATTTAATAGTTATTTATACACCAAGTGAGTTAAATGAATGTTTATTCATGAGAAGAAAGTTTAACCCACGAGCCCTAGCGAGTGGGTTAATTTTCTTCGAATGAATAAATATTTTAACTCACGTGATGTATACAAAATTTTATCCCATTTTGATGGACATTCAATTTAAATTAATAAGAATCAAATTATAAAAAGAATTCATTTTGTAGCACATGAACGCGTCTAAAATTGAAATTGGTGGTTGATAGGGTATAACTAGTTGTTTGTTTGTATTTGTAGCAGATTCTGTACTGGCAGAGTGACTTAAAAGACCGAGAGTGAGTTAAAAATATTTTAAATCACTCAGGTGATAAACGTCTACTTACCTTTGTTATTATGCGTTCAATAATGTCATTTTTAAACGTCAAAATGGGATAAAGAAAATTAAAGGAAACTAGTGTATTAAATCAACGAGAAATATTTTAATTAAAACTAAACACACTAAACAACCTATTTTAAACGAATTAATTTTTCTGAACTGGAACGAAATTAGCACTAATTATTATTATGAGGAAGATCCCTGAAATTTTTTTGAAAAAGTTCATTTCGCACAACTGGCTTTCGTCCTCCACAAAGTTGAACTAGGTCATTGTATTTTTTTGCATCCAATTTTATGGAACCATTATTAAGTTTCAATAAAGGTTGGTTCATCACTCCCAAAGCGTTTCTTTTCAAAGAGAGAGTATAGTAATTTTCGGCAAGATGACTGTTTTTTACAAAAAGACGCGTATTTTGATGTTTTCTAACCATAACTTCTTTGACCTTTGTCCAGTCAACATCTTCACCAGAGTCAAATTTTCTTATTGAACGAATTCTAACTTTTTCAGCCAGGGCCTTGTAGTTATAGAAATCATCACTACTCATTGTGATTACGTTGTAGGGCATCGCTCTTCTGGCTAGTTTTAAAATAGGGGGTAGTTGAGCAGGTATAAAAATATCTCCTGCTAAAGATATGGCATGAGAAATTGAGCTGTGCGCAGAATCGCCCTCGCTCTGACCATGATTTGTTTCAAAGTAACTTAGAACAATTTTTTCCATATTTTTCGCATTTGTAATTACGTATAGCATCATAGCTAGAACAATAGTGTTGCGGTTTTGGCCGCTACAGCCATCTGCAAATAACCTGACTTCCTTGATCCCTCGATTGTCTAGCTCATTCAGTTATCTTGCTACACATGTTGATATTTCGCTAGCCCCTCGCTTACTTATAGTTTCATCCCAAAAGAAACAATAGCATTCTTTATTTCCGATATTGTAAATTGTGAAGTTGATTGAAGAGAGGCGGCGACGAAAAAATAAGGCACTCTCTTTACTTTTTGGAAGCTGTATGACTTGTTGTAGGTCAAATACAGCAGCAGCCAGAACGCTAGGATTTAACTTTGATGTTTCCTTGGCTTCTTCTTTTTTCCTGCGAACAGATATCTTTTCAGCAGTATGATTATTATAAGCATCCTCGAGTTCCAGTTTTCTTTTTTCATCAGCTTGCCTGTATGACAAGCACAAAGTACATTGATCCTTCTTGGGATGATGAAAGGAAAGATTTAGAGATTTAAAAGTCCGTCGATATGTATGATAACTACAATGTGGTTGGTTGCCATTATCGTTTTGGTAAAAATAGTACATTTTTTTCACAGTCAAATCAGGGTGTAAGTATTCTCGTGAAGAGGACTGCCTACAAAAATGTGACTCCATTCTAGGAAACTTCTGAATGTGTTCTAATGCTGAAGCTCTCATTTTTGCATCGTTTTCTTTCAACATTTCATGTCGCCCTCCTCGTCTATCGGGCTCTACTATCCCTGTTAGCTCCAACAGTGGACTGTATAAATGAAACTGATCGTTGAATTGAATTTTCAATACAAAATTACAAAATATATTAATAATTTGACAATGTGACAATAATTAAACAATCTTTCCTTGGCGACGAACAAAATTCTCTGTCACTTGTTTTCAGCTGGTCAACGGCAACGATATATTGGAGAAATATACATAAGTTTATTTACTTGCCCTAACATGCCGCCAGCCTTGAAATAACTAATTTCAACATTAAACCAATTGAACTATATCATATTTAAAAAAAAAGAAAAAAGAAATGGTTCACTAAATTGCCAAAACACAAATTTTAGATATTGCACGTTTAAATACCGAACCATCAGCACATCGTACACTGACTACACGAACTATGCTGTCTGGGCCAGGATGAAGTTCGAGCACTCTACCAGTTTTCCATTTGTTGACTGGAACCTGATCCTGCTTGATGATTACCAAACTACCAACTGCTAATAGTTTGGTGTAAGACTTTTTCCATTTGATTCGAGACTGCAATTCGGAGATGTATTCCACATTCCATCGCTTCCAGAAATGATGAACCATAGCTTGTAAACGCTGATATTTGCTCAGTCGATTTTCCGCGACGATCGTGTAATCTGGTTCTGGAAGGGCGGTTAAAGGTTTTCCCACCAGAAAATGGGCCGGAGTAAGTGGTGTTGTATCCTGAGGGTCCGTAGACAGCGGTGATAATGGCCGGGAGTTCAACACCCCTTCAATTTGAATTAATATTGTGTAAAGATCATCATAAGTAAAACTAGAAGCACCTATAACGCGTTTCAAATGGAATTTAAAGCTTTTTACACCGGCTTCCCATAAGCCACCAAAATTAGGTGCTCTAGGCGGATTAAAGTGCCACGATATTCCTTCAGCTGAAAGTGTTGAGGCTATATCATTTGAATTAGTCTTAATAAAGTCAAAAAGCGTCGCATGTAGAACCATTGTCTGAATAAATATGCAAAGGTTTACCCCGTCTTGCTATGAAGCGTTTTAATACTGCAATGAAAGAAGGAGTGGTCATGTCAGTGACGACGTCTAGATGTATACATTTCGTACTCATGCAAACAAACACACACACGTAGGCCTTTAAGGTTTTTGGATTTCTCGTTTTTCTGTCTCTTATAGTTATTTGTCCAGCATAATCAATACCAGTATGTGTAAAGACAGGTTGAAATGCTGTAACTCGACTTTCAGGCAAATTTCCCATTTGATAGTGCTGTGCAACTGGTTTAGCCCTAAAACACACAACACAATTTCGTACAATTGATCGGGAAATTCGACGACCGGAAATTGGCCAAAACCTTTGACGGATTGAATATAGAAGCTGTTGAGGCCCACAATGTAATAACTCTATATGTTCATGTCTCAAAATCAACACAGTAAGAGGATGTTTATTATGCACTATAATAGGATGTTTTTGATCAACTGAAATATTTGCCTTTTGTATGCGTCCACCAACTCTTATCAATCCTGCTTCATCCAAATAGGGATTTAAACTCAAAATTTGACTAGAAGTGGATAAAGTTTCGCCTCTTTGTAATGTAGCATATTCTTTTGGAAACGATTGGATTTGTGATATTCTTACTAAGCAAATAAGAGCATTATTTAGTTCTTCGGATTGAATGATACCAACTGAGACAGTCTTAGAGTCTTAGATTTGAGACGAAAATAAACTCGAAAACATATTGCAATAATTCGTTGTAACTTTAGCAGAGACAAGAATCGGACAAAATCAAAATCAAAGACCTCCATCAAAACTATAGAATGACTAAGAACTTTCTGTTCAGGTATATCCGAGGTTAATTCAACAACCTTTTGAGTTTCTTTTAAGGGACTGGAAAATACTAATGTGGGTCCTTTCCACCATAAGTCTGACTCGAGTAAATAAGTACTAGAGGCTCCTCTGGATAAACAATCCGCGGGGTTGTTTTCTGATCGAATATGATACCAATCCTCAGAGTTAGACAAGTTTTGAATTTTTGTTACGCGGTTTGCTACAAAAGTTTTCCATCTACTTGGGCAACTTTGAATCCAAGATAGGATGAATCTGTCCAGTAGAAATATTTGTCAACTTGAATTTCTATTGATTGTTTGACCTTTTTCACCAATTTAGCAGCAACATATGCTGCACAAAGCTCTAAACACGCTAGAGTTATCGTTTTTATCGGGGCCACACGAGATTTGGAAAGGATAAGATTGGAAGAAATATATTCACCAGAAGCTGTCAAACAAACCATGTAAACACAAGCGCCGTAAGCTTTTTCCGATGCGTCCGCAAAAGCATGAATTTGTAAGATTTTAAAATTATTATCTACTACATGACGAGGAATAGTTACTTGATTGAGAAGTTTTAAGTCCTCACAAAATATCAGCCATTTTTCTCTAAGACATTGTGACACTGGTTCGGCCCACGTTATCCGTTCTCGCCAAAGACATTGTAGAATTAATTTTGCAACTACCACAATTGGACCCAGTAAAACCAGTGGGTCAAATATTTGACTGGTAATGGACAAAATAATTCGTTTCGAAATTTTTATATCCGTCGTATCAGAAGCCCTAATAGAATAGTGAATTGAATCCTGAGTAGCATTCCAAAATATACCCAATGTTTTATTCTGTTGGCCCTCACCTAGATGCAAAATACTCGAAAATTGATCTTGATCCACTTCAAATTGGTTCATTAGCTCAGGCTGATTCGAAAGCCATTTTCGCAACTTAAACCCAGCGGTACTAAGAATCAAAAATATATCGTGTTGAAGTTGCAACAATTTCGACTTCGAAAACGCACCAGTCAATAAGTCATCAAGATAAAAACATTTCATTATAGCCTGGCTTGCTTCAGGATATTTATCTTTAAATTCTAGACCCAATTGATACAAAGTTCGAACCGCCAGAAACGGTGAAGAAGCACAACCGTATGTCACGGTGTTAAGCTCAAAACATTCAATGTCGGCGGATTGATTGTCAGGATTTCTCCATAAAATTCTTTGATATCCACGTTACTCCTCAGAATGCAATAGTGAATTATGTTTCTGGCCACAATGACGACAAGAGCTCGACTTTGAACAGTTGCTTGTGTGTTCTGGACTAAAACAATTCAAACACAATTTTAATTCACTTATAGCTGCGAGTCGAGCTTGCACATTCAAATTCCTGAATGCGAAACATTTATAAATGGAGTGTGGCTTATTACAAAAATAACAAGAACATTTATTTTGTGGCGTAGCTGCCAAATGACATTTAATTTTTTCTGATTTAATTTCCATTTTTGAGGATTCCAACTTTTCCAATAACTCGCATCTTGCCTTCAAGAATTTGTTAACGTCTTCCAAGCTAGGAAGTTCGTTACTTTTTACCTGAAAGGATTCCCATTCTCGAAGAGTTATGAGATCGAATTTATTTGTGAGCATGAATACAATGAGTGTGTCCCAATGCTCAACTTCCTGACCAAGGCTTTTCAAAGATCTTAAATTTTTATTGAATATATCGTAAACTTTTCTAAGCTCAGTATATGACTCTTTCATGACTTTTGGACAATCAAACAAATCCTTGATATAATTATAAATAATTAGACGATTGTTTTCATACCTATCGGTCAAGATAGTCCAAGCATTGGGATAATTGTCATTAGTAACCTGCAAATTAGCAATTGCATGCAATGGTTCTTCACTAAGAAAAGATTTCAAATAGAAGAACTTCTCCACGTCCGACAAATGCACATTCTCATGGACAATAGCACGAAAGGCATCTCTAAATTCCAGCCACTTGCCATAAGAGCCATCAAAAACAGGTAATTTTAGATCAGGCAACTTTATAGACGGTTTTTGACTCACTTGCTGTGGAGCATTACTAGCACGAGATGCTCCACCGCTACCGGCGCTACCTGACTGATTGTCAACACCTGAATTGTTCAAAATTGATTTAATTCTACTGAGAATAGAGAAATATTATTTTTCAAAATTAAACCTTTCAACATTTTCAGATTCAATAATGACATCTATATCTACCTCAACACCCTCAGCTGTTGTATCTAAAGACAATTGACACTCTATATCCGTCTGGACATCATTAAACTGAATAAAAGAGGTTCAACATTTTCTAGCCGAGTTTCGATTTGAATCAAGTCTAATTCGGATAGCTTTTCTAAATCAAGTTTATCGAGAAACCCTTTTATTCTAGTTAAATTACCTTTCAGAGTACCTCTTTTCAATTTCAATTTGCGTAAATCCGCCATAATAACCATAATATTCAAAGCTGAAAAATATAAAAGGCAACAACTGCGCAATAAATGATTCCAGTACTTACTTACCAGATCTCAAACACAACACAAAACCAAATGAATTGCCAATTATCTATGCTGTAATAATTAATAGAACGGACTTACAACACTTTGTCGACTAATATTCCAGACTGGAACTCCCTGTATTGGCCCTAAGGTGCTACACCAACGTCACCCGGTTGAACCATTTAACTGAGCCAATGCCAACAGGAACAGATAGAACAATGACCGCCTTGGCCCTTCCCCGCCTTGACTGCGAAAATTGACTGGAGAAAACAATAACGTATCCGTGTCGATAGGACCAAAATGTTAGCTCCAACAGTGAACTGTATAAATGAAACTGATCGTTGAATTGAATTTTCAATACAAAATTACAAAATATATTAATAATTTGACAATGTGACAATAATTAAACAATCTTTCCTTGGCGACGAACAAAATTCTCCGTCACTTGTTTTCAGCTGGTCAACGGCAACGATATGTTGGAGAAATATACATAAGTTTATTTACTTGCTCTAACAATCCCTTCTTCTGTTTTTTTAGATAAAGCCGTACGCATTGTCTTTTCTGAAATTCCCAAAGTGTTTAAAAACATTGTTTTACAAACTACGGACATGCCGTCACTTTTAGGAAGGTGGTATTCAAATGTCTTCGACCTACGTGAAACTTCTTTGTCTGTCCTTTTCCGCTTGATAGCTTTGATCTGTACGTGTCGTATAATAAACTCCCTTTGTTGCTGTAAGCTCTTTGTACCATAAAAAGCGTTGAATATTTTCTGCCTTTGGACATCACTAATGCTGCACACTGTACTCTTGCATTTTTCACTAGTACAACGAGGTTTCATCCCTTTAGCTAAAACAGCCTTTCCAGAGGTGCTACTGACATAAGCTTCTCCCGCTACTCTCTTGTCATGTGCGATCTTCCTTTTATTGCCCTTCCTCACTTTATCAAAGGATACTTCCCTTTGTTCTCCATCCACAGCATATCTTCTGCGAATCTCTAGGTTAGTTTTCATACCTTTAGAAAGCAAAATGGGCGGTATATTTTCCTCATTTTCGGAAGAAACGCTGTCAACATGTTCAGTACAGGTTTCGTTGTTGATAAAATGTTCCCAACAAAGCAACTCAGAACATCTTTCACATGCTGCCCATATTTCATCTCTACAGTTTCGAAATACACAGCTCGCTCTGTAGGTGGGGTCGTGATCGCTGTTAGTAGACTTATATTGCTCAGGTTCTCTTTGAATACAATTTTCTGAAAACTTCCTGCAAACTGGAGAAGTTGTTTGAGGGTTTTGTCTTACAACACTCAGTGGAACATTTTGGAGACATTTACCGCCAAGCTCGCTAATTGACTTCAAAACACTTGTAACTGGCTCAGCAACACTAAAAGCACTCTTATATACTTCCTTTTTCCTGTTGTCATTATCCGTTATTTCTTTTGCACTTCTCGAATTTTCCGGTAACTTTCTATAAACTGATGAAGCTCTTTTGATGTTTTGTTTTTGAAGGGGATTTTGCTTGAAGCCCCATCATTTTTGGGAGGGAGAAAAGATTGCCTTTTCTAGCAAATTTTAGGTACTGGTTCCGTTAGCGGGTTGTTTCAATTAAAAACCACGACCCGTTTTATTTACAATTTATTTACAAATTTATACAGTTCCGGCGTTCCGGTTTTATGACGATGAATTAATTATATTTTCTATTGTCCGATTAACAAAAGTCTAAAATGTTTAGTTGGATATTCACTCCCGAAAATTAGGTATTCGCATTCGCGCACAGACAAGGGTCGGCAACCGGCACTTTGCACTTTAACTTAGACTTATAATAGACTTTGTTATAATGTTACTATTTTACTATTTACAATATGTATATCTACACAGTTTTTATTGTACTAGGGTTGGAGATATGATCGAGTTGTTGAGTTGTTTCAAAAGTAATGAGAGGAGAGAAATTAAGAGAAACATTGCGGGCGATGTCCCTTGAGTGGACTAGGAGCGACTGACACCTTTTTCACTTTCTCAGGTTAAAACCTAAACGAGAAGAGATAAGGTGCGGCTTCCTGATTGGTTCCCCAGTAAATCTAGAAAATACCAAACAATAAAAGCAGAGGTTTTTTATTTACAAAAATATTCGAGAAGATATTCAGGAATTTAGGTTAACGGTTTTTTTATGTGTGGTTGGGCAAAAAATTATAAAATATATATTTGACTGGAAACGACTAGAATTAAAAATAATAAGTGTAAAATATTCAATGTGAGATAGATAATTCGAACATACTCCCCCCCGGATAAAGCTGTAGCTTTATTTATAACATTTTTTTATCCTTTAGGAAAGGGGCAGACCTTAGAGATCGATCTGCTGAAGATTCCTTCACTTGTCAACACCTTGACCATCCGAACCTTTCCATCCGGACCAGGAATTATTTCCGTGATTCTGCCCCTACGCCAGTTGAGCGGAGGGGTATTGTCTTCCTTTAAGAGAATTAAATCATTTTCTAAATATTCGTCTATGAATTTCTTATACTCTGTGAATAATGTTTTATTGTGACACAACCTTTTTTCGAGAGAGAAAAATCGTTTACTAGCTTGTTTAAATGAATCACCAAGTTTTAGGTAGGCATTTGATTCTATGAAAAGCCAATCTACCTGAAATTTACCATTTTCGAGTCTTTTAGTGGTAGTTTTAAATAACCTTTCAGCAAGATTGGCTTCAGGGGTCAAATTTCTCGGATTTTCAACTTCCTCAAGAGTCCAAAATTTTTCTATTAAATTTTCAATGTTAGAGTGTGAATCCGAGAGCGTCATTACTTGAGAACAACAAGATACTCTATGTGAGGCGCTAAAATGAGAATTTACATTTTTTCCGCCGATCACGTACCCCAAGTAGGTATTGAAAAGAGTTGGCAAACCTTCGCCTAAATGAAGGCTACCAGGGGCAATCAGCTCGAAAAATATATCGGCGCCGAGTAATAAATCTATATTTGCTGGTTTATAAAATTGAGGATCTGCTAACTCTATGTGAGGTGGCAGTTGTATTTCTTGAGGGTCCAAAGATATTTGAGGAAGAGGGCAGGTTATTTTTTCCAGAATTGAACAAGAAACAGCAAACTGTTTAGCAATATTGTCCTTTGCATGCAAATAAATATCAATTATTCTATTAGAGCGAGTATTATTGTTTGCTATTCCAGAAATATAAATCGGGCTGAAATATTGTTTATATCCTAAATTTTTCGCTAAATCAGAGGTAACAAATGAGCGTTGACTACCGCAGTCCAACAAAGCTTTCGCGAATATTTGTTTTCCATTGCTAGCTCGAAGGCCTACTACAGCAGTTGCTAACAATACTTGCACATTATTATTATGGGTTAAATGAAGAGATTGTACCGTCTGATTAGCATGAGAGCTCAAATCTACTTGAGAATGAGATTGATCCAGGGTTGAACTTAATCCACAGGTGCGAGAATGAGTTGGGTTGGGTTCTGGATTTTCTGATGAAACATTATTGCGAACTTGTTTATTATTTCTTTGCGCGTTTGCGTGAAAACTACTTAGATGGGAGCTAGAGCTAGGGTTTGCATTTCGTGGGGAATACGAGGGCGAGGGGGTGTCTCTATGTAACAGCGTATGATGTCTTTTTTTACATATTATGCATGTATATTCAGAATTACAATTTTGAGAAGAGTGCTTTGTTCCCAAACAATTGAAACAAAGTTTGTTATTACTAACAAATTGCCTTTTATCTGTGAACGAGAGTTGTTTAAATTTTAAACAATTATAGAGCGAGTGATTGCTGAAATTGCAAAATAAACATTTTCTTTCAAGTTTATTACTTGCGGGGGTAGCTTGCAAGGGGGCGGCTTCTCTGAAGCCTTCAGCGGACGCATGATGCGCCGCTCTTATTTTAGGGGAGATAGATTTTTCTTTATTAATACTTAGAGATTCAAAGTTGAGGCATTCCAATGCTACACATCTATTTTCAAGAAATTTTAAAAATTCATCGAGGGTTGGTAACTGTGCCCTATTTTTCTCTAATTCATATGACCTGCGTGTGTTAAAATCCAATTTTTGAGTATATATATATATTAAGAGCAAGTCCCATTGATCTACTGGGACATTTAGGCCTTTAAGAGCTTCGATATTTTGTTTTATGACAGTGACAAATTCTCTTAAAGTATGGGAGGTTAGTTTTACAAGGGAAGGAAGCTCCAGCAAAGTTTTAATGTGCCAGTTAATAGTGATTAAATTATTTTTATACCTATCTGTCAACGTTTTAAGGGCAATATTAAAGTTTGAACTTGTCAACTGTAAATTATTTATTAAATTCAGTGGTTCACCAATCAGGCAGCCCTTTAAATGCATCAACCGTTGCACATTTGAGAGAGTGGGGTTTTTTATAATTAACGTACTAAATATGTCATAGAAACTTGACCATTGAGAGAAATCCCCATGAAATGTAGGAATCTTTAAATCCGGGATTTTTGCACCGGAAAATGAGGGGTTTTGGTTCTGAGACGATGTTGAGGGCGATCCCGCTCCGGTCGGAGGGGACGGAGCCAAAGAATCTAATTTGTCATGAAATTTACCCAAAGTTTTAAAATAATTAGTCTCGACCATATCTCTATCTGACTCTTGACTTTCATCCAAGCCTTCTATTTGTGTTTGAACATCATCGTAACTATTGAAATCTAATACAAACTTATCAAATCGAGATTTGAAAACATTTATACTTGCTTCTATATCATAGTTTGCATCTAACCATCTACTTGCTCTAGTTAGTTTAGATTTTAAATTTCTCCTAAATTGAGTAAGAGTTTCAAAATTTTCTTGATCCATCTTAACTAATTTATTTATTAAATTAACCTATAAATGTTTACCTAGAGATAATATAACCAAAATCAAAATATAAATTTACTAAAGAGAAACCAAAAGGTTTAAATGAAAAGGGTCTTTAGGATAGACTTTGCTTTAGGTATATTATGTAAATCAGTCCTCTATGAGTGGGCGCAGAAAACCAACAAAATATGCACAAGCAACAAGTAAAATTCAAAACGACCTCACCAAATTCCTTGCAGGGGCGCAGGTAGCGTCAATCACACAAATCTCCAATAGAGAGGTTCTCATTTACCATTTCCATCCAATTTTGATTATTGTTCTATAACAATTATTCCAGTGTCCACTTGAACTAAAGTCTTGTTTATTTTCACTACCTCGAACGACTCGAACACTTTCCGACGGACAACGTACACGGGAGATGCCAGAGATAAATAGTTTTTTTTTTTGTTTTAAATGTTTATTGTTCTTGTTTAGGGCGCTAAACAATCCGGCTCGAAGGACCACTATGAAGGGGATTTTGCTTAAAGCCCCATCATTTTTGGGAGGGAGAAAAGATTGCCTTTTCTAGCAAATTTTAGGTACTGGTTCCGTTAGCGGGTTGTTTCAATTAAAAACCACGACCCGTTTTATTTACAATTTATTTACAAATTTATACAGTTCCGGCGTTCCGGTTTTATGACGATGAATTAATTATATTTTCTATTGTCCGATTAACAAAAGTCTAAAATGTTTAGTTGGATATTCACTCCCGAAAATTAGGTATTCGCATTCGCGCACAGACAAGGGTCGGCAACCGGCACTTTGCACTTTAACTTAGACTTATAATAGACTTTGTTATAATGTTACTATTTTACTATTTACAATTTGTATATCTACACAGTTTTTATTGTACTAGGGTTGGAGATATGATCGAGTTGTTAAGTTGTTTCAAAAGTAATGAGAGGAGAGAAATTAAGAGAAACATTGCGGGCGATGTCCCTTGAGTGGACTAGGAGCGACTGACACCTTTTTCACTTTCTCAGGTTAAAACCTAAACGAGAAGAGATAAGGTGCGGCTTCCTTTTTGGTTCCCCAGTAAATCTAGAAAATACCAAACAAGAAAAGCAGAGGTTTTTTATTTACAAAAATATTCGAGAAGATATTCAGGAATTTAGGTCAACGGTTTTCTTATGTGTGGTTGGGCAAAAAATTATAAAATATATATTTGACTGGAAACGACTAGAATTAAAAATAATAAGTGTAAAATATTCAATGTGAGATAGATAATTCGAACAGTTTTAAAATACTGAGAGGCAAATTGTCATCTTCGTCACTTTCTATTTCGTTTTCTGTTTGTATCCCAAAGTAATATTTTTCTTCTTGACGCCCGTACATTTTATAACTAACACCACTACCAATACCAGTGTTTTTCTCTACAGTCTCGAGTTCAGTAGACAGTATTTTATCTTATGAACACAAGTCATTTATAATCTTTGACAATACGTCGAAATGGAAAAATTCTCTAATAGTCGTAAAAACAATGTTTTTCAACCGTTTTCCTTTCACTGATGCAAGAATCCGTTCATTTTTAACATTGGGGCGTATCACACAATACTGCTTACAAAAGATTCAGCGGATAGGCGTAAGTCCATGTTATGGATTTACGCCTCTTTGTTAGATTTCGATTTTAAATTGATGACGCTTACGCCCATTGAAAATGTGACTTTATTATTAGCCCCGAAGGAATGGATGTACGCCTGTGTACCAGATCATAGATTAACCGACTGGGAATCTTTTGGTGCTGTCAACATACATTTTGAAATTTTGGCGCTTACGCCACTTTGCCAGATCAGCGACGATATACTTCAAGGCAAAATATTTTAATCCAGGATATAGGTACTATTTTTTACTTCAAATAAAACTAATATCTGTAGGTATTATTTTCTATTCAGAAAACTTGAAGTTGTACTTTTGCGCACCATTTTACTGTTTTGTACGATTTTACTTTTCCGCACGATTTTACTTTTCCGCACGATTTTTTTACTTTTCCGCACGATTTTTACTTTTACGCCTAATTCAAGATATAGGTATAGTGGGAATCATTGCAATTGGCACACACTATATAAATATCCCTTGTAATGTGTCAAATCTGACACACCAGTAATAGCAAAATGCTGCACTAAATAGATTTATTGGTTAGAATTTTGACTCAATACGAGGGATTTTAAAGAGTGTGTGCCAATTGCAATGATTCCCACTGTACTATTTTTCACTTCAACTCAAATCATTATCTTTAGGCCTTATTTTTCATTCAGAAAACTTAAAGTTGTACTTTTTCGCATGATTTTACTTTTCCGGACGATTTTATTGTTTTGTACGATTTTACTTTTCCACACTATTTTACTTTTCCGCACGATTTTTTTACTTTTCCGCACGATTTTCACTTTTCCGCACGATTTTTACTTTAAAGCACAATATTTAAATTCAAGATATAGGCAAAGTCTAAAGATCCTCGAACAAGTCCGGTCACTCCTTTGATCTCCTCAAAAAGCCGGCTTTTTTTGCGGAAGGTCGTAAATCATGTCAGCACGCGCCGATTTGTAGATAAGAAGCAAATACGAGGGCGCTGGTCCCGATTGTACTTGGTAATGTTTTTACAGGGGGAGTTTGAAAAAGAATGTCTTTTAAGAATATTTACGTTAATAATTTTTTGGTTTTAAAAAATTATGGAAAAACTTTTTCTGCTTAGCGATTAGCATTAAATTAATTGACGGATAATCTCAATAATTATTGTTACTCAATTAATTTCATATTATAAAATCAGCGGTAAGTGTTACTTAACATCACGTTCTGGTAGTAACTTTGATGGAATAGCAGTTTTTAACACATTCGCGGGCACTTAGATCATTTTGAATCTACTGAGAACATCACCTATTTTTCTGTAAAAAATATTTTTTTTAGGTAAAAATAAGTACTAGTCAGCATCTAGAAGAGAGATTTTGATTTTTTTTTACAGCAAAAAATCGAGTGTCTGCTATTACAGTCATGTCCCTAAACATTGAAAATTTGTATGTGCTAGGACACACAACTGCTATTGCAGACGTGTTGTAGTAAGAACACATGTTGACTAAATGAAGAATAAACTGCGAACGTTTTTATAGACTTTATTATAAAATTATTATTACATGAATAAACAAGGTATATTTTCTTTGAAAACCCTTAAAAAAAACATTTAATGCAAAAATAAAACGTCAAATTATAGAAAAATATTCGTGAAAAAACATATTATGAGTGAAAATTTGCAAAACAAGTTCCAACACATAAGGGTGGCTTATCTTTGCATGCAGAACACCGCCATGATGTCTGTCCCCTTTTCCCATTTTTCGAGCATTGGCGACATCTCAAAAAGTAACTTTTTCTGCTGTAACCTTCAGGCAAGGGAATTTTTTCCAAAATATGTTGTAAAGGTAATTGAGGTGCAATAAGGGATGGTTTTGAACATTCTCTGGGATTATTCATGGCCCCATGCTTGACTAGTTTCCGGCCATCTTTAACATTTGCTGAAATTTCAAGTAGACCCTTTATGACAGCCTCTCGAAAACTAAGAAGGCTCATTTTCGATTTAGTAATTTCCCGATAAAGAAGAAAGCTGTTGACAACAGTAACATCTATCAGATGAAACATCACCTTCTTGTACCAGCGAATCGATTTTCGTGGGCAGCTGTAATAAGACGTCAACTGGTCACTTCTGTCGACCCCTGCCATATTTAGGTTATATTCAGAGACTTCTTTTGGTTTAAATTTAGTTTGGTTATAGGAATTAGTTGCCTGAATCATTTCTGGATGAAATTTGGAGGTAATCATCAATACCTCCCGCTTATCTTTCCATTTGGACACATACACTTTGCCCTTTCGCAACCATTTATGCTCACCTTTCTTGAGTTTTTTAGTGGTAATTTCTTTAGGATTTCCTCTGCGATTTGACCTAAGGGTTCCTGTTGTATGAGTTTTCCGATCAAGTAATTTGTTTGTTAGAGGAACGCTGTTATAATAATTGTCCATGATAGCGTGATGTCCCTTGTCTAAGAAAGGTGAAAGAAGCCTGAACACGAGAGACTGTAACTTTGTCATATTTGCTTCTTCTGCTTGTTTACCTTTATAGATGTCGATGTTGCAAGTATAACCTTTTGTTGTGCACAGCTCGTAAAACTTAATCCCATATTTTGCTTTTTTTCCCTTTATATATTGCCTAAAGCTCAGCCTCCCTCTATGTAGTAATAGTGACTCATCTAGTGACAAGGCTTCTTCGGGAGTGTAAGCACTCTGATAGTTACCAAGCAAAATCTTCAATAATTCACTTACTTTATTGAGTCTATCAGTATTGTCTCTGTCGTTGGTGCAGTTGAAACATCTGAGCAGCTGTTCATATCGGCGTCCCGACATAACATAGGAAAACACAGGATGGTAGTATAATGGATCATATGAGAAAAGTTTTCGCAGTATTGGGAATCGAATCTGTCCTTGCAATAGAGAAATTCCAATAAATTTATAAAGTTCTTCTTTGGTAGTTAGAGCAAAGCTAGTTGTTCTGGAATTTTTAGGTTTGGGGCGATTTGATTTTTCCAGTTTCTGACCATATCCATTTGTACAATTTACAATCAGATCCATTACTTCATCAGTCCAAAGCGACTTGAAAACTTCTAGAGGTAAAGGTTCATGGTCAAAATGTAATTTTACCCCTGAAGCAGCATGATCAAACTGGAAGTCTGGTATATCATCATAAGTCTCTTCCCAATCATCACTTTCATCAGAACTAGAACCTTCTGCATCTGTTACATTAGTTTGATTTACGACAGGATTTACGGCAGTTGGTGGAGTTAGATTGAGGTTAGGCTCGTCAGATGAATCAGAACTATCATTTGTCGGAGAATAATCCAAGTCTCTATCATCTGATCCAGCATATGGATCTTCATCGCTATTACTGTCGATTTCGTTTTCATCATTGTTATCTTCTATTTCAGTTTCAACTTCATCATAAAGCCTTAGTA